CACACACAATTCCTTAGTATAATATCGTTAATAATGGCTAAAGCATATATAATTAACTTTTATGGAAAAAAAAATAATTTTTAAAAATATTTTAATTAATTAATACCTTATTAGTATTTGCATTTATTCACACTGATTGTGAAAAAAAAAGACATACACCAATCGTCAACTAATGGAAAATCATTCATGGGAAATATTGATCGAATCACAATTGGATTTAAACAATTCACGTGTACGACGTTCAATGGATTATCATCAAATGAATGAAATTGATTATTTATATTCTGATAAATATTTTATAATCGGTGAAAATGGAGCATGTCCAGTTAATTCACATAGATGTATTGGGCCACTTAAACCGGCGACACAATATAGGTTAGTTTATTTGTGTCAATGTACATAAAAACATTACGTAACAGTAATTTTTCGACTTAAGCTTTGCTTATTTCATGTATTTTTTTAAATTGAATTCTTATTATTTTACTCTAATTATCATTAAAACATTTGAAATCATCAATCAATCAGGGGTTAAACAACCATTAGAAACCTAGAAGCACTGAAAGACGGCCGTTTCATCCTGATATAGGACTACTCATTAACAGTGCGCGACTCCTACCACTCGCAAGATTCAAACTCAAGACCTTCGTTCTAGCGTGCGAACGACTAACCGCAGGACCACTCGGCTGGTCGTCATCAAACGGTGTTTATTGTCTGACTCTGATCAATCTAGAGATCTTGCGCTACCTCACCCATATTTCTTTGGTAGTTATTGCCTACACCCAGGAGGATTGAACTCCACTGGCCATGTCTTCTCACTAGAACTTCAAGAATTTTCTCACAAAGCAAGTCACTAATGAGCATATTGTACGATCGTTTTAGCCTAAAGTTTTGGAAATAGGCGTTTTTACATATTTAATCCGTCAATCAATCATGGCTAGGTGTTGGAGACGTTTTTTTCCCGGAATTCGCTTGATAAATGCCTTATTTTGGATTTCACGTTTGCCAGCATGGACTGATCAGGTGACCTTGAGATCTCATTTCCAAATAGGAAAATCCTTGACTGTGATTGACTACTATATGTTCTAGTATGCTATTTTTTGATTGTCCTAAGGACGAGATTTGTGTGCTTGATTGCAGCATTGTGCTTACTGGGGTTTTGCAGAGTATACTTTCTACACTATATCAAGATTTCTCCTTAGACTTTTCGAATCAAGATAGCCTACCTGTAGGCTGTTTCCTTGTCTCGTTCACGTTTATCGACTACAGTGAACCCGTAATAGTTTCAAGCATACCTAGTAACAAACCTAACACTAGGCCACTATTAAAAATCTGGAAACACTAGACTGTCGTTTCACCCTGGTAAAGGACTCATTAGCAGTCTACATTCACGACTCCTGATACTCACAGGATTCAAACCTATGGCCTTCGATCTTGTACGCGAAAACCTAACCTCTTTTTCACTGAGCTAGCCGGCAAACAATGGGTTTGAATTCTGCGTGTAGCAGGAGTCGTGAATACGCAATCCCACTAATGAGTCCAATGCTTCCAGGTTTCTAATGGTGATCTAACAATGTTTGATTGATTGATGGTTTCAAATCAGTAAAAACACAAATATCCATAACTATAATTGAAAAAATTATTTAAATTAAGAACCAGATGTGTTGATGAAAATATCATGATTATTCATTTGACTACTTATTTCTGTTATTGATAGTATTCTAAGTTTTTTTATTCAATCTTTTTGGATAGTTAATTGATAAATATTGCTTAGAGCTCGTTAATAATGTACCGAGAGAGAAATCCACAGTTTTATATGCTTCATGGGTGGTTATCAACCATACATAGTTTTGTACACAATTCATTTAAAACATAAATAATGATTACTTCGTTTCTTTTTTTGCTATTAATTATCAGTATACAATTACGTACATACACAGAATAATGGATATACCACATTTTTAATAATTCATAGACATACATTACCTAGTAGTAAGTTTGAATAAAATAATCACATTGTATAAATTACATTGTAACATAGATTGATTGATTGATTGATTGAAAGATTATGATTATAGGATGATGGAGATTGTAGAGTTTCATTGGGATCGTGAATCAGTCAATGTTAGAGTACCATCTAAAACCTTGAAGCACTGGACACTGTTGGATACCGGCCCAGTGATCTAAAGTCTATAAGCGTATCTAACGGTGTTAATGTCTAACTTGATCAATTCACGGAGTTGCGCAACCTCATACCCTGTATACATCCGAACAGGTTTGAACTTCACTGGTCACGTCTTCCCACTAGAACTCGGAGAAGATTCCTCACCAAGCTAGTCACTAGTGGACACATGTAATTGCATTGCGGGTTTGTTGTGAAGATTGTTAAGTTTTATCTGTAACCATGAATTGATCAATTGATAGAAATATATTGGCGAAGTTCAATCTCCAACCTACAATCTGTGCTGAACCTTCTTTTTGTTCTGGTTATCAGTAAGGGCTCAGCTTGGTGAACTCCAAAGAAACTCAGTTTTCATCACGAGCCGTGATAACTGTTCTTCCAACTGTCAAGGAAGATTTAAAATGGTTTGAATTCTTTTTTCTGATCAGCGTTTTCTTAGCAAGTTGGTTTTCTACAAGATGAGGTAGCTAACCTCATTTCCAACCCTTCTCCTTTCTCCGGCCTCCAGACTGGCCAGTAAGCCTAGAAACGTTCCAGGCGGAGTTAACACTTACACAGTAGTATTGTATTATAGCCGTAATTTATATTTATGAAAATCAAGTGGATTTTAGAATTTAAGTGCTTACTATTTCAACCAACTAAAATAACACATTTCTCTTATATACTTACATTTTGATAAAGACATATTAAATAAGCATCGAATATTTGATCGATTTTTCTCATCCTAAGCGTGAACAAAAGTCTAAGCACATGAAGAATTAATCTTTTCACATGTCTATCTATATTTTACGTTGAAATATTGATATGTTTGATCAGTTGAACACTGATCAGTTATATATTAGCACTCATTTTATTTGAATATTGTTAGGATATTCATTCAATATCCTAAGAGAATTATTGGTCGATTCTTATTGGTTAATTTTATCATCGTCCTAGATACCAATGTCACCTACTCCAATGTTGTTTCTTATTGGTTGTCCTGACTATCGACGTCACCTCAAATGTTGTTTCCTATTGGTCGTGTTAACTGTCAATGTCACAGACTCCGATGTTGTTTCCTATTCGAACTAAATGTATAAATACGCATTATCTGTAACGTTTTATGACCAGGACCAGGATCCTGATTCTCTTCTGAACTCTGACCTCGTACTTTCTGGATGCTTGTAGAATACAGGTTCTACTTCAAGTCAAGTTTTCTTCTTTCACTCAATGGGGGTTGGGGCACTCAGATTAGAGTAGCATGTCATGTCACCGGATCCTTGATCCTCACTCTCGTTTTCCGACTCGAACGTAAACTCGTAATAATAATTCAAGCATATCAAGCATGACATGTTTACCTGCATACATAACAGATATCAATCCTTAATCAATACTGTGATAACTCCATTTAGACCATTCTGAAACTTTCATCAATCAATCAATAGTGTAGTTTATTTATTATAATTAAAAAACCCATTTCATACTTTCATCTACATTGATATATTTCCTTAGTTAATTTGCCCTTTATTAAATTTTTTTCTCTTTTTCTTTCAACTACTATAATATATGAATATTTATTTGTACTTTTGAATTAGCTACCACAATTTTGATTACATGTTGCCTATTATGGTCATTATTTCTATTGGTTATATCAACATTTGGTTTATTCTATTATCGTCTTATTGAAAACAAAAGTATACATTTTCATCAAAGTGATATTTTTTTTAATGATCTTATTCAATATCCTAATCATAACATTCATACAAAAGAAAAATTCATTACTACTACTACTACTACTCTACCAATTCGTAGTAATGAAGATATTTATGCACAAATAACAATGGATGGGTAAGTAGTGTATGAGATTCACCTTTTTGTTTTCTTATTCTTCTAAATAAATTGTATGATATTATTGTATATGTACAAGTTATAATATGTGACAGACTATTATTATTATTACTTGAAAGTAATAATGAGAAGTGGAGTGCCATTAGATAATTATTCCATTTTAGCTTACAATTCTGTTGAGGTTCGTCACTAGAGGTATGGTTGAAACTATTACAGGTTCGCCAATCGAGCATAGGCCGCCCACCAGTTTTCTCCAACCAACTCTGTCCTGGGCTTTCCTCTTCAGTTCTATCCAACTTTTGTTCATTCTTCTCATGTCTTTCTCTATTTCTCGGCATAATGTGTTTCTTGACCTTCCTCTTTTCCTTTTACTGTGAGGGTTACAAGTGAGAGCTTGTCTAGTGACGCAGTCAGGTGCTTTCCGCAGTGTGTGTCCCATCCACTTCCACCACTTCTTCTTGATTTCTTCCTCCACTAGAATCTGATTTGTTCTCTCCTACAGTAGGTTGTTGTATTGTGCTCTGTATCTTCTTTGATCCTCCTAGTATTACTAGGGCTGTGTTATTCATCAATGAGAACTTGTACATTATATATTCTCCTGTCATAAGGTGGATATTTCTTTATTCTATCAGAATAAAATTTATGGGGAGATAGTTTAATTAACCCTAGAACTGAATAGTGGTTTTTTTCTTGCAATATAACTTCTCAATAGTACTTGCCCACGATACAACAAAGGTCAAATTCACGACTTTTAGTGATGAGTGTGTATACTCCGCTTGGAGCAACTCGGCGGCTTCAGCCAACCTCAAGCCCCGGATAAAGGGGAAGGGTTGGACATGGCATAAGTGACCACATTCCTCTAAAAAAAAAAAGCGCCAACCAGAAAAAATAAATCAAACCATTTGAACTCTACCCTGAGAGTTAGAAAGATTTCATTTAGTATAATTATGACATCTTATGATGAAATCCGAATTTCTTCGGATGTCACTAGGCCGATGACCCTTTGAACAACCAGATTAACCAATAATTTAGATACGTAGAATGTTCGTACAACATGAGAGATGTGGAGAGAGTGATCCAAATTGATGTCGTGTATACGTAACCTTTAATCCAACTGGAATTAGGCGATGATGTAAACTATGATTATATAAGATTTTTATTGATTAATGATTATCAGTGTTTAATATTCACAAAAAACTGTTAATCAATACATCATCCTGTTATTGATAAGCATTGTTGATTGTACATTACTTTTTTTACTATTTTAGAACACATCTTCCAAATTTATGGACATCTATAGACTGGTAAGTGAAGTTTTCACTGTTCTATATTCATTGACTGTGAAATATCCTTTTTTGATTGACAAATATAATTTAGAAAGCTGGAAGCGTCCTGGTATGGGACTCATCGGTGGCAGTGTGCATCCACGACTTCTGAATCTCTCAGGACTTGAACCTATGACCTTCGGTCTTGTGCGCGGACGCCTAACCATTGGACCGGCATCCGACGGTATTAATGCCTAACTCTGATCAATCTAGGGATTTTGCGCGACCACAACCATTTGTCTTTAGTAGTTACTGCCTACAACTGACAGGGTTGAACTACATTGGTCATGTCTTCTCAACTAGAAGCCGGAGAATTTCCTCACAAAGCTAGTTACTAGTGAGCACATGTCACTATATTTTCGGTTGAGGTTTCGGAGATCAGTGTTTTTACACATTCGAAATCATCAATCAATCATCGTCAGACCAACATTAGAAACCCGGACGGCAGGCCAGTGGTCTAGAGGTTACGCCATCATGCGCAACACCGAAGGTTTGGGTTCGAATCCTGCGAGGTGCAGGAGTCGTGGATGCGCACTGTTGATGAGTCCCATACCAAAACGAAACGGCCGTCCAGTGCTTCCAGGTTTATAATGGTGGTCTAACAATGATTGATTGATGATTTCAAATGTGTAAAAACACAAATCTCCAAAACTCTAACCGAAAATATAATTTACAGTTATAGACTGCTGAGATTGAACTCATTGAATTGATGACAGTTAAACAATCCGTTAATGACTTTGAATGATTGAATGGACTATCATTCTTGTCGTGGAACATGTATATTTATATATCTATCAGTCGTCTGCTACTGTTATGCTCGTCACTTCATATTCTTGAAACTGTTACTGGTTCACCTTAGTCGAGAAGATGAACCCGTGACACGGTAGGCTACTCTTATCCACTGACCCTAAAAAGTCTTGATATAGCGTAGAAATTGTATTCTACAAACATCCAGCAAACACAATGCAATCAAGCACACAAATGGAGTTTATTCATAAATCATAGAAACAACCTTGGGAGAGTCACAAAAATAGCACACTAAAATAACACATCAACCAATCATAGCCAATGATCTTCCTGGTGAGAAATGTGTTCGCAAGGTCAACTAACTGATCAGCCCATGAATAAAATCCAAAATTAAGGCCTTTATCAAGTGAGTTTTGGCGATCTAACATCCCTAACAGGCATTCATAGTCATTCATCACTCCTAGTTCAATGAAATGTATGAAACTAATCCGAATAAAATAAAGAATTAATTCATGAAATGTTTTTCTATGCAAGCCCAAATTACAAACTTAGAATTGTCTGTCTGTCTCAATAATGATTAGTACTTCTATTAGGGTTTAATTGATTTAAAAGTCATTTCATTCAGTTGAATAATATTTTACCTGATTACAGTTTAAATTTGTTATTCCAAACGTAGAACTATTCATTCCTCAAGGTCACTGCTCTCATCCGTACATTTTATTGATCAGTAGTCATTAAGAAAATCTACAACAATTGATATGATAAGTAATGATTAGAGAGTTTGGAAATGTATACCTATTATATTTGCATTACAGGGTTGTGAAGATTTTTAAGTTACACAATTTTCGAAACCATGAATCGATCAATGTTAGACCACCATTAGAAACCTGGAAGCACTGCACGGCCGTTTCGTCCTGGTATGGGACTCATCAACAGTGCACATCCATGACTGCTGCACCCCGCGGGATTCGAACCCAGGACCTTCGGCATTGTGCGTGAACGCCTAACCATTGGACGACTGAGCCGATTTCTAACGGTGTTAATGTCTAACTTGATCAATTCACGGAGTTGCGCAACCTCATACACAGTCTTCGGTAGTTACTGCCTACACCCAAACAGGGTGAACTTCACTAGTAACGTCTTCCCACTAGAACTTGGAGAAGATTCCTCACGAAACGGCCGTCCAGTGCTTCCAGGTTTCTAATTGTGGTCTAACATTGATCGATTCATGGTTTCAAAAATTGTGTAACTTATTATATTTGTATGTATATTTTGAAATAGCTTATAGTGATTGCACTTTTATGAAGAGTACACGATTGGTTTTTTTAAATAGAAACATTCATTATTATTATAATCAGTAATTGTTTTACTGAACTACTTTGTTTATTCCTACTGCGTACATGGAAAATTTCTTTTTGTGCATGCTACCATTTTGGTTGCACTGCTTGTTGTCACTTCGGCCCCTTTTTTTTCTCTGGTTTCGATTTCGGGTATTCTGTCGATACCATGAAATCCTTTGTCTGGATCAACTCTTCTTCTTCTTCTTTGTCCTTGATTCACGGAGATATTACACTTTTAGTGGTGGCAACGTAATTGATCTGCATTGGTGTCTGTTACGTATGCATGTAAACATGTCATTTTGTGATATGCTTGAATTATTATTACGAGTTTGCCTTCGTCGGTAAACGAGAGTGAGAATCGAGGATCCAGAGACATGACATGCTACTCTAATCCAAGTGTCCTAACCCCCATTGAACAATAGAAGAAGACTTGATATGAAGTAGAACCTGTATTCTTCAAACATCCAGAAAGTACGAGGTCCGAATCAAGAATAGAATGAGGATCCCGGACTAAGGATCCGGGTTCGGGTCATAAAACGTTACAGATAATGCGTATTTATACATTTTGGTCGGATAGGAAACAGCATCGAAGTCTGTGACATTGACAGTTAAGACGACCAATAAGAAACAACATTGGAGTACGTGACACTGATATCTAGGACCACCACATAATTGAACAATAGGAACAAACTAATATTAATTGACCAATAATTCTCTTAGGATATTGAATGAATATCCTAACAATGTCCATAGTCATTTCCCGACTTGAGCAATTACAAGCTTATTTTGTTAAAGCACTTAACTTTCAAATGGTAGATCTCAACCACTTTGGTTTCAGTAACCAGGTAGTATTGTTCACTGTCACACAATGAATTCAACTCTTAAGCTGAGTGACATATATTTTTACGTGATATATAATCAACTCAATAAGCCATACCGATAAACATACACTTATAAATAATTATCAGTTGAAGGAGCTTGATCTCTTCATTGTGACTATTCAAGATTGAAGCAATAATTCAATCTTTCCATACAATGTTTAACCATCATCATCGGAAACCTGGATAGCACTGGACTGCTATTTCGTCCGAGTTAGACAATAGCACTGATGGGTACCGGCTCAGTGGTTTAGTGGTTAAGCGTTTGCTGTATGCTAGACCAATGCTCCTCCTACGTTCTAGTCCCGGGTGCGGACGTTGTAGATACGTACTACTGATGAGTTCAGTGCTTCCGGCTATTTGATACTGATCCAACAGTGATCGACTCATGATTTCAACTCTGTCGGGTGTAGGCAGTAACTAACAAAGACAAATGTGTGAGGTCACGCAAAATCCCCAGATCAATCAGATTCAGACATTAACACTGTTGGATGCCGGCCAACTCAGTGGTCCAATGGTTAGGCGTTTGCGCACAATACCGAAGGTCCCGGGTTCGAGTCCTGTGAGGTGCAGGAGTCGTGGACGCGCACTGACACCTATGAGACAAAACGGCCGTCCAGTGCTTCCAGGTTTATAATGGTGGTCTAACAATGGTTGATTGATGATTTCAAATGTGTGAAAACACAAATCTCCAAAACTCTAACCGAAAA